ACAACTGCGCTGATTAATCGCCAGTTACAAGGCTTAACTTTCCAGGGGTCGCAGGTCACGGTCCCACATTGTTCTGTCCTAATGAGCCCAGGGTCGGATCTGTTTTCAAAGCCTTTAAATTAGCCGGTGTGGATGCAGCGGCCTGTCAGGGGGCCGTCACCGCGCTTTTGTGGAGGGTGGACGCCAAGGAAAAAAAAGAGAAAAAAGGGGGTCAGCTTCAAAGGGATGGTAAACCTGACCTCTGTCCAGGCTCCAGGGACGGCGGGCGGCATACACAGGCACACTTCTCTCCCCGACCCCCATAATGCTTTGTCATAATTAAGTCAGACATTACGGATGGAGAGATTGAATTTCAGAACAATCCAGGAAAGCCTTAAAACAAACAATTGCAGCTGAAGAGTCGCAGCTCATTATGCGTCTGAAATAAGTGCTGTGTGAAAAATGTTCTCCTGGTGGAGACCTCTATCTACATACACAACGCCGGGATTAACCGATTACTGCCGACCGGCACGCATTCACCTCCGCGGAGCGCTGCGGTTTTTTTTTGTAGGATGCAACAGAAATTATCATTATTATTGAGGATTTATATTATTATTATACAGGATTTATATTATTATACAGGATTTGTGTATTATTATACAGGATTTATATTATTATATATAAATCCTGTATAATAATACAAATCCTGTATAATAATAATAATATAAATCCTGTATAATAATAATATAAAATCCTGTATAATAATACAAATCCTGTATAATAATAATATAAATCCTGTATAATAATAATATAAATCCTGTATAATAATACAAATCCTGTATAATAATAATAATATAAATCCTGTATAATAATAATATAAATCCTGTATAATAATACAAATCCTGTATAATAATAATATAAATCCTGTATAATAATAATATTAAATCCTGTATAATAATACAAATCCTGTATAATAATAATATTATTATTACAGGATTTATATATTATTATTATACAGGATTTGTATTATTATTATACAGGATTTATATTATTATTATTATTATACAGGATGTATATTATTATACAGGATTTGTATTATACAGGATTTATATTATTATTATTATTATACAGGATTTTGTATTATTATACAGGATTTATATTATTATTATTATACAGGGTTTATATTATTATTATACAGGGTTTATATTATTATTATTATACAGGATTTATATTATTATTATTATACAGGATTTATATTTATTATACAGGATTTATATATTATTATTATTATACAGGATTTATATTATTATTATACAGGATTTATATTATTATTATACAGGATTTATATTATTATTATACAGGATTTATATATTATTATTATTATACAGGATTTATATTATTATTATACAGGATTTATATATTATTATTATACAGGATTTATATTATTATACAGGATTTATATTATTATTATACAGGATTTATATTATTATTATTATTATACAGGATTTATATTATTATTATTATACAGGATTTATATATATTATTATTATACAGGATTTATATTATTATACAGGATTTTTATAGCGCCAAAAGTTTGCTCATCGCTTTACAATATAACGGGAGACAATACAGCAATAATACAGTTCAATACAAGAGGGATAGGAGGGCCTGATCCTTGGAGCTTACAATCTAGGAGGGAGGGGCTAGTGGTACAAAAGGTAGTAACTGTGGGGGATGGACTGGTTGGAAAAGTAGAAGATTCCATTATTAGCGGAGGGCAGGATAGGCTTCCCTGAAGAGATAGGTTTTCAGAGTGCGCCTAAAAGTGAGCAGAGTAGGCGATAGTCTGATAAATTGGGGTAGAGAGATTCAGAGGATGGGGGAAGCTCTGGAGAAGTCCTGGAGATGAGCATGGGAGGAGGAGACAAGGGAGCTAGAGAGCAGGAGGTCTTGCGAGAGCGGAGCATAACGTGCTGGTGCACAGCCACTAAAGAGTAACTCCGCTTTTGTTGAGAGAGAAAAAACACGCTCCCCTCTGGGTGACACTTGTCTGTAAAAGGATAAACTTGTCATCAGTCAGTAAACTGGACCCTCAGTACCGGACAGAAGTAAAGTCGCAGAAGCCAGAATCTGACAAGAATCCTCCATACCTGGACTCCATGTGGCCTCTCCAGTGATACACTGAGATCCTTCTCCACGAGAAACAACACGCCATGGATACAACAAGGCACAGCGCTCTGCAAAAAAAGGTAAAATTCCATTCGCTTATTGATCAGCACCAGCAACTCTTAGCCCTCATTCACACGGGATCCGACTTTCAACATTGTGCGACTCCTCTTGGAAGTCAAAATCGGATGGAAGTGAGATTTGGGGTGCGACTTAATAGATATCTGTGCGACTTCATCTATAGAGGTCTATGCAAGCCGCACCCCTAATCAGCATAAGTAGAGCAGGGACTACTTTCCTACTTGGTGAAAGTCCGACAAAGTCGGAGCCGCACCAATTAGAACAGTTCCACTGCCTATCATTGGATGCGATTTGACCGTTCAAATCACATGACCATTCACATCAGTGTGAACCAAGGCTTATGGTGAACAATGATCCATCTATACCGGATTTAAATCCCTAAAGTCTGGAGGGTTTATTCACATCAGAGAACATGCATTAAAGCTGAACGCAGGGCAAGAATATTAGAAACGCAACGTAACCCCTTCGCGCCGACGTCATACAAATATGCGTCGTCATGGAACTGTGATTTTTTTCCCGTGGGGTCGCATATTTGCGTACCTGTCTTTGTGCTGGGTGTGCACCGCACAGACCGCTCCCAGCACAAAGACTGGGGTGTCACTGAGAGCCTCGGGTCCCGTTCTAACGATTGGGACCCGGGACTCCCAATTCTGGGTCACATAGCCTTTAATTGGCTATCACAGTGATCAGTCACTGTACAGCCCGCCCCCCTTGTTTTTTTTTTTCTCTATGAACGGAAGAGAGATACATTGTATCTTTGACTCCTTGCATAGAGGGGGAAAAAAAATTTTTGTTAAAAAAAAAAAAAAAAAAAAAAAAAGGATAAATAAATATTTAAAAAAATAAAATAAAAAATAAACAAAAAATACCTAGATCAAGGTTTGATCTAGTTCAGTGCCAGGGTTAGTATTTGGGTTAAAGTCAGGGTCAAAGATCAAGATCAAAAGGTCAGGATTTTTATTTATTTTTCTTAACTGGTATCGGTGTCAGTTTTAATTAGGTTAAAAAAAAACAACAAAACAAAAACAAAAAATGCGCACTATTATTTCTGGTCCTGTACTATGGGTACAAATAACATCCACATATGTGGTATCACTGCGATCGTCAAGAGCCAGAAAATTTATTTAGGGTTGTTCTTTGGTGGTAGGTTATGGTAGTAACAAGAAATACACAGCTAAATGAAAAAAAATGATTTTTTTTTTTTACTATTTTGGGCCCGCCCCCCTTGTTTTTTTCTCTATGAATGGAGGATATAGATACATTGTATAACTCCTTGCATAGAGGGGAAAAACATTTTTTTTTGTTAAAAAAAAAAAAAAAAAGGATAAATATATATTTCAAAAATAAAAGAAAAAATAAACAAAAAATACCTAGATCAAGGTTTGATCTAGTTCAGTGCCAGAGTTAGTGTTTGGGACAAAGGTCAAGATCAACAGGTCAAGATTTTTTATTTATTTTTTTTGAATTGGTATCAGTGTCAGTGTGAATTAGGTTAAAAAAAAACGAAAAAAAACGAAAAAAAACCAAAAAATGAGCCCTATTGTTTCTGGCCTGTACTACGGGTACAAATAAAATCCACATATATGGTATCGCTGCGATCGTCAAGAGCTAGAAAATTTATTTTGGCTTGTTCTTTGGTGGTAGGTTATGGTAGTAACAAGAAACATACAGCTAAAAAAAAAAATATTTTTTTTTTCACTATTTTGGGACAGTTTTCCTTTGATTAAAAAAAAAAAAAAAAAAAAAAAATCAGGAGATATCCATTCCCATTTACCACCAAATGAAAGCCCAATTTGTCCTGAAAAAAACGCCGGGTAATTCACCCGGATGTACGAAGTAGTTGTGATGATACGGACGGTTTTATGAACACATGTCAAAGTTGCAAAATTGTGCTTAGGCATTAAGATTTGTTTTACCCTCAGGCGTGAAGGGGTTAAAGTGGCTCCAAAGTCTAAATTGTTTTTTACTTAATGCATTTCCTGCATCCCCCCCCCCCCCCCCCAGTGGATCTACTTACTTGGACAATATGAAGAGCTTTAAACAGAGCCGGCACTGGAGAACATCTCCGAGAGTCCACCAGAAGCGTCAGACCGAGCCGCCTACACTCCCGCCTGGAAAAGACAACAAAGGATCCCACATGATGGACCGGATTCCCACCAACAGCCACAGTCTATCCAGCCAACATTCACATCACGGCAACAAATCGTGGACAATCAAAGTAGGACAGTCTCCGCAGGAAACGCAGCAAATGAGGCCGCAGCTGGCGCGACCAACAATGACAAACTTCAATCGGAGGGGGGGGGGGGGGATTCCAAATAGGAGGTTTAGCATCAGTGTGACTTCAGGTGCAACATGAGATTTGCAAAATTGCACCTGAAGTCGTATCTAATCAGTGCGATTTGAAGTAGTGTCATTTCAAAAATAGTTCCTGCTCCACTTTCTTCCTGATTTCCTGCAACTTACATTGACTTCTGTTAAATGAAGTTGCAAGTTACAGTGGACTCGGCGGTACGAATCACATTAATGTGATCCAATTGTTTGGTAACATATAAAAGATGATACACCGACACCACGGTACACCTGCACAGGACTGAAGGGGAGGAGTACGGTACACCCGTGCAGGACTGAAGGGGAGGAGCACGGTACACCTGTGCAAGACTGAAGGGGAGGAGCACGGTACACCCATTCAGGACTGAAGGGGAGGAGTACGGTACACCCATGGACTGAAGGGGAGGAGTACGGTACACCCGTGCAGGACTGAAGGGGAGCAGCATGGTACACCTGTGCAAGACTGAAGGGGAGGAGCACGGTACACCTGTGCAGGACTGAAGGGGAGGAGCACGGTACACCTGTGCAGGACTGAAGGGGAGGAGCACGGTACACCTGTGCAGGACTGAAGGGGAGGAGCACGGTACACCTGTGCAAGACTGAAGGGGAGGAGCACGGTACACCTGCACAGGACTGAAGGGGAGGAGTACGGTACACCCGTTCAGGACTGAAGGGGAGGAGTACGGTACACCCCGTGCAGGACTGAAGGGGAGGAGCACGGTACACCCATGCAGGACTGAAGGGGAGGAACACGGTACACCCGTGGAGGACTGACGGGGAGGAGCACGGTACACCCGTGCAGGACTGAAGGGGAGGAGCACGGTACACCCGTGCAGGACTGAAGGGGAGGAGCACGGTACACCCGTGCAGGACTGAAGGGGAGGAGCACGGTACACCCGTGCAGGACTGAAGGGGAGGAGCACGGTACACCCGTGCAGGACTGAAGGGGAGGAGCACGGTACACCTGTGCAGAACTGAAGTGGAGGAGCACGGTACATCCGTGCAGGACTAAAGGGGAGGAGCCGGTACACCTGCGCAGGACTGATGGGGAGGAGCAGGTACACCTGCGCATGACTGAAGGGGAGGAGCAGGTACACCTGTGCCAGACTGAAGGGAAGGAGCCGGTACACCAGCACAGGACTGAAGGGGAGGAGCCGGTACACCTGCGCAGGACTGAAGGGGAGGAGCACGGTACACCCGTGCAGGACTGAAGGGGAGGAGCACGGTACACCTGTGCAGAACTGAAGTGGAGGAGCACGGTACATCCGTGCAGGACTGAAGGGGAGGAGCCGGTACACCTGCGCAGGACTGAAGGGGAGGAGCAGGTACACCTGCGCATGACTGAAGGGGAGGAGCCGGTACACCTGCGCAGGACTGAAGGGGAGGAGCCGGTACACCTGCGCAGGACTGAGGGGAGGCTGGAGGTCAGCTTTGATTACTAACATAAACCAAGTAGTTTTTTTTCCCAAGGCACTCTGAAAGGACAGAAGGGGCCTCTTTCCACTTACCGCACCGTGCTGTAAAAGTAGAGGAGGAGGCGCCCCAGTTCAGCGGCGTTGCAGTGCGGGTTTAGCCATGTGGTGTTCCGTGTGTTAATGACCACCAAAGCGCGTCCGTTTCTGTCCCGTGTCCCTGAGAGCAGAGGGCAGGTTGTCAGTTACACAAAATACAGGGAAAAGATATACTTTTTTAAACATATAAAAACAACTGAAAAAGAGAGCGTCATTAACATGTTCCTAAACCCACAGCAGTAAAATCCGTCTGTAGATGCAGTAAAGCATGCTTGATATCTCTCTTTGTGTAATCCTGCATTGTGTAAAAATGTTGTTTGACCCGGTCTTCTCTGTTCCTCCCCTTCATCCAGTGTCCCCCTCTTATCTCCTGATAAGACATATCGTGTGGAGTCACTCTGCACCTGCTCAGTTTGGTGTGTATCACTAGAGGTTTTTTTTTTTTTTTTTTTCTTGGGAGAGTGCAGCACAGGGCCAATCAGCACTGTCCAGACAGAGGTCAGGGGTTCTGCATCCTCCTTGGGGAAGTAAACCATAGCCCATTATTAACAATGTGCTTTTGCACACAGGTGCGTAAAGAAGCTTGTGTATTCAGTAACACAAAAAAAAAAAAAATAATAGGAAAATCTGCATTTTTAGTCACTAATTTACACCGTGATCACACATTTGTGCGCAAATACGAGCATATGAGCACAAATATAAGTTCATATTCCCTAAGAATATATTGTGCGCACAAAATACGCGCAAAACAAATGCCTGAAATTACATCCAAAAAAAAGCAGATGCTCAAACATCAGTACTGTGTCCTTAGAGGAAAATAAAATCTCACCTGGTACATATACCACCCCGCTCATCAACACCTCCAGGTTGACGTGTGTGACCCGCGTAGGCAGGCTTTGGCCTTCAGTCCTTCGGGAGACCATTGGGGAGCTCAGGCCGGGCTGCCATGATGGCGGCTGCTCCTTTTCCAGTTCGTTTTCCGCCGTCTTCTCCTCCTCGGCGTGATCTGTAAAACAGGAGCCCCGACATGACACATCTTCTATAGTCTCTTTACACCTCTATAAAAGTTTAGTCCGAAAACCTAAAACAAAAGCGTCTTCACGGTCCCGCACCTAGATCTCCGTCTGTTGACATTTCTTATCATAGAGACCTCGCGGCTTATCCAGCTGGAGGAATCCGAAATCTCATGAGCGTTGCCAGCGACCGGTTACATCACCCCATCGAAGAGCGCGTTCTGTTTGTTCAGTCTGAGTAATACATTCTAAATTATATGTTTTCTTAAGAACGCCACTAAGTACTACTTATATCAATAACACGTCCATTTTATTAGTTTAGGAAGTGAGATCTTTGTGTCTACGGATGACGGTTACTAGTGAAGAAATCTGAGCTTTTGTTCCTGTCTTGGCAATCCTCCCATCCCAGGCAGAATATGGAAAAATAAAATCGAAGCTCCAACGATGCAGGTGGAACGCTCCCCGCACCGTGTGAGCTACGGAACGATGGATCGGAACACAAAGGGGTCCATTTTCTGGCAAGCTCTGTGTGCATTGCTATGGGATGTCCCACATGGAAGAAAAATCTATTTGAAATACTAAAATATTGGCCATATTCAAAATAATATATAATATATATATATATATATATATATATACATACATACACACACACACACATATACACACACACATATACAGTCAGGTCCATAAATATTGGGACATCAACACAATTCTAACATTTTTGGCTCTATACACCACCACAATGGATTTGAAATGAAACAAACAAGATGTGCTTTAACTGCATACTGTCAGCTTTAATTTGAGGGTAATTATGTCCAAATCAGGTGAACGGTGTAGGAATTACAACAGTTTGCATATGTGCCTCCCACTTGTTAAGGGATCAAAAGTAATGGGACAATTGGCTTCTCAGCTGTTCCATGGCCAGGTGTGTGTTATTCCCTCATTATCCCAATTACAATGAGCAGATAAAAGGTCCAGAGTTCATTTCAAGTGTGCTATTTGCATTTGGAATCTGTTGCTGTCAACTCTCAAGATGAGATCCAAAGAGCTGTCACTATCAGTGAAGCCATCATTAGGCTGAAAAAACAAAACAAACCCATCAGAGAGATAGCAAAAACATTAGGCGTGGCCAAAACAACTTTTGGAAATAAATAAATGGAACGCACCGGTGAGCTCAGCAACACCAAAAGACCCGGAAGACCACGGAAAACAACTGGGGTGGATGACCGAAGAATTCTTTCCCTGGTGAAGAAAACACCCTTCACAACAGTTGGCCAGATCAAGAACACTCTCCAGGAGGTAGGTGTATGTGTGTCAAAGTCACCAATCAAGAGAAGACTTCACCAGAGTGAATACAGAGGGTTCACCACAAGATGGAAACCATTGGTGAGCCTCAAAAACAGGAAGGCCAGATTAGAGTTTGCCAAACGACATGTAAAAAAGCCTTCACAGTTCTGGAACAACATCCTATGGACAGATGAGACCGACATCAACTTGTACCAGAGTGATGGGAAGAGAAGAGTATGGAGAAGGAACTGCTCATGATCCTAAGCATACCACCTCATCAGTGAAGCATGGTGGTGGTAGTGTCATGGCGTGGGCATGTATGGCTGCCAGTGGAACTGCTTCTCTTGTATTTATTGATGATGTGACTGCTGACAGAAGCAGCCGGATGAATTGTGAAGTGTTTCGGGAATATTATCTACTCATATTCAGCCAAATGCTTCACAACTCATTGGACGCTTCACAGTGCAGATGGACAATGACCCAAAGCAGACTGCAAAAGACACCAAAGAGTTTTTTAAGGGAAAGAAGTGGAATGTTCTGCAATGGCCAAGTCCATCACCTGACCTGAATCCGATTGAGCATTTCACTTGCTGAAGACAAAACTGAAGAGAAAACGCCCCAAGAACAAGCAGGAACTGAAGACAGTTGCAGTAGAGGCCTGGCAGAGCATCACCAGGGATGAAACTCAGTGTCTGGTGATGTCTATGCGTTCCACACTTCAGGCTGTAATTGACTGCAAAGGATTTGCAACCAAGTATTAAAAAGTGAAAGTTTGATTTATGATTATTATTCTGTCCCATTACTTTTGGTCCCTTAACAAGTGGGAGGCACATATGCAAACTGTTGTAATTCCTACACCGTTCACCTGATTTGGATGTAAATACCCTCAAATTAAAGCTGACAGTCTGCAGTTAAAGCACATCTTGTTTGTTTCATTTAAAATCCACTGTGGTGGTGTATAGAGCCAAAAATGTTAGAATTGTGTCGATGTCCCAATATTTATGGACCTGACTGTATGTGTGTGTGTATAAATATATATGTGTATATATATATATATATATATATATATAAATATATAAACACACACACAGGTGAAACTCGAAAACTTAGAATATCGTGCAAAAGTTCATTTATTTCAGTGCAGCAACTTAAAAGGTGAAATATATGAGACTCATTGCATTCAAAGCAAGATAGTTCAAGCCGTGATTTGTCATCATTGTGATGATTATGGCTTACAGCTCATGAAAACCCCAAATCCACAATCTCAGAAAATGAGAATATTGTGAAAAGGTGGAATATTCTCGGCTCAAAGTGTCCCACTCTAATCAGCTCATTCAGCCATAACACCGGCAAAGGGTTCCTGAGCCTTTAAATGGTCTCTCAGTCTGGTTCAGTAGGAATCACAATCATGGGAAAGACTGCTGACCTGACACCATCACTGACACCCTCCATAAGGAGGGAAAGCCTCAAAAGGTCATTGCAAAATAAGTTGGATGTTCCCAAAGTGCTGTATCAAAGCCCATTAATAGAACGTTATGTGGAAAGGAAAAGTGAGGAAGAAAAAGGTGCACAAGCAGCAGGGATGACCGCAGCCTGGAGAGGATTGTCAGGAAAAGGCCATTCAAACGTGTTGGGGACTTTCACATGGAGTGGACTGAGGCTGGAGTCAGTGCATCAAGAGCCACCACACACAGACGGATCCTGGACATGGGCTTCAAATGTCGTATTCCTCTTGTCAAGCCGCTCCTGAACAACAAACAACATCAGAAGCGTCTTACCTGGGCTAAATAAAAACAGACCTGGTCTGTTGCTCAGTGGTCCAAAGTCCTCTTTTCTGAGGAGAGAAACTTTTGCATCTCATTTGGAAACCAAAGACCCCGAGTATGGAGGAAGAATGGAGAGGCCCAAGGACCCCGAGTATGGAGGAAGAATGGAGAGGCCCAAGGACCCAGAGTATGGAGGAAGAATGGAGAGGCCCAAGGACCCCGAGTATGGAGGAAGAATGGAGAGGCCCAAGGACCCCGAGTATGGAGGAAGAATGGAGAGATACAAGGACCTCGAGTATGGAGGAAGAATGGAGAGGCCCAAGGACCCCGAGTATGGAGGAAGAATGGAGAGGCCCAAGGACCCAGAGTATGGAGGAAGAATGGAGAGGCCCAAGGAACCCGAGTATGGAGGAAGAATGGAGAGGCCCAAGGACCCAGAGTATGGAGGAAGAATGGAGAGGCCCAAGGACCCCGAGTATGGAGGAAGAATGGAGAGGCCCAAGGACCCCGAGTATGGAGGAAGAATGGAGAGGCCCAAGGTCCCAGAGTATGGAGGAAGAATGGAGAGGCCCAAGGACCCCGAGTATGGAGGAAGAATGGAGAGGCACACACTGCAAGATGCTTGAAGTCCAGTGTGAAGTTTCCACAGTCTGTGTTGATTTGGAGAGCCATGTCATCTGCTGGTGTTGGCCCACTGTGCTTCATTAAGTCCAGGGTCAACGCAGCCGTCTACCAGGAGATTTTGGAGCACTTCATGCTTCCTTCCACAGAGGAGATTTATGGGGATGCTGACTTCATTTTCCAGCAGGACTTGGCTCCGCCCACACTGCCAAAAGCACCAAAACCTGGTTCAATGACCGTGGGATTACTGTGCTTGATTGGCCAGCAAACTCGCCTGACCTGAACCCCATAGAGAATCTATGGGGCATTGCCAAGAGAAAGATGAGAGACATGAGACCGAACAACGCAGAAGAGCTGAAGGCCGCTATTGAAGCATCCTGGTCTTCCATAACACCTCAGCAGTGTCACAGGCTGATACCTTCCATGCCACGCCGCATTGAGGCAGTAATTGCTGCAAAAGGGGCCCAAACCAAGTACTGAGTACATATGCAGCTTCTACTTTTCACAGGTCCGATATTGTTCTATGTACAATCCGTGTTTTATTGATTGCATGGAAAATTCTCATTTTCTGAGATTGTGGATTTGGGGTTTTCATGAGCTGTAAGCCATAATCATCACAATGATGACAAATCACAGCTTGAAATATCTTGCTTTGCATGTAATGAGTCTATCTCATATATTAGTTTCCCCTTTTAAGGTGCATTACTGAAATAAATGAACTTTTGGACAATATTCTAATTTTTCGAGTTTCACTTGTACACACACACATATAAAAATATAAATTATATATATACAAAATATATAAAAAATATTTTTAAAAATACATTACAAATATACTGTATGTCTTTAAAAAATACAAATCTACATTTTTGGAATGCATATACAGATACATGTAAAAATGTTAAAAATACTTTTTTATATGTTAAAATAAAAAAATCTGAAGAACATATTTAAAAATATATATTTTTTTAAATATATTCTTCAGATTTTTTTTAACATATAAAAAATACATTTTTACATATATTTGTAAATGCATTCCAAAAATGTAGATTTGTATTTATTACCACTTGCCTACCGGGCACTTATACCCCCTTTCTGTCCAGGCCAATTTCAGCTTTCAGTGCTGTCGCACTTCGAATGGCAATTGCGCGGTCATGCAACATTGTACTCATATGACATTTTTAGCATTTTTTTGAGACAGAACTTTCTTTTGGTGGTAGTTAATCACCTCTGGGTTTTTTATTTTTTGCTAAACAAATCAAAAACTGAAAATTATGAAAAAAAAAAGTTTTTTCTTAGTTTCTGTTATAAAGTTTTGTAAATAAGTGATTTTTTTCCTTCACTGATGTGCGCTAATGAGGCTGCAGTGATGGGCACTGATAGACTGCACTGTACTGATGGGCACTGATGAGGAGGCACTGGTAGGTGGCACCCATCCCATGTACAGCCTGAGCACCTGACACCCATCCCATGCACAGCCTGCGCACCTGACACCCATCCCATGCACGGCCTGCGCACCTGACACCCCATCCCATGCGCAGCCTTCGCACCTGACACCCATCCCATGCACAGCCTGCGCACCTGACACCCATCCCATGCACAGCCTGCGCACCTGACACCCATCCCATGCACAGCCTACGCACCTGACACCCACGCCATCCCACCTGCACAGCCTGCGCACCTGACACCCATCCCACGCACAGCCTGCGCACCTGACACCCATCCCACGCACAGCCTGCGCACCTGACACCCATCCCACGCACAGCCTGCGCACCTGACACCCATCCCACGCACAGCCTGCGCACCTGACACCCATCCCACGCACAGCCTGCGCACCTGACACCCATCCCATTCACAGCCTGCGCACCTGACACCCATCCCATGCACAGCCTGCGCACCTGACACCCATCCCACGGACAGCCTGCGCACCTGACACCGATTCCATGGACAGCCTGCGCACCTGACACCGATTCCATGGACAGCCTGCGCACCTGACACCTATCCCATGCACAGCCTGCACACCTGACACCCATTCCATGGACACAGCATGCGCACCTGACACCCATTCCATGGACAGCCTGCGCACCTGACACCTATCCCATGCACAGCCTGCGCACCTGACACCCATCCCATGCACAGCCTGCGCACCTGACACCCATCCCATGCACAGCCCGTGCACCTGACGCCCTTTAACTTCTTCCCACCTTTAAGACATCCGCACAGTGAACGTATTATACATAGACCCCTTTATGTAATAAAAGGTTACCAACCCCTGTTCTTACGCTAGCCATTGGGGTTGATTTTCTAAAGGCAAACAGTACACTTTGCAAGTGCAGTTGCTCCAGATCCCTGGATCAACTTTCCCTATAAATGTTATATCCAGTTATATTCTGTGTATCCAAGAAAGAATCCAGGACTTTCCTACAGGAATCCACGGAGCTGGCCAGAACCGACTCTTGAGAGAATCCATTCCACATTCTCACAGCTCTTACTGTGAAGAAACCTTTCTGGATTTGCAGAATAAATCTCTTTTCCAGGTGAGCTGAACCTGCTGGGTGTGAGACTGTTGGGCACGTGGGAGCTGCTACCAAGTCATCGGCAGGGAAAGATCCATCATACTCAGGATATCATTGGCTCTTCAGCTGCCATGAACCTGGTTTATTGGCACTCGAAGCGCCCCCACATGGAGAAGGGGTGAGGTGGTAGTAGAGGTCAATGACTGGCTTAGGTTTACGGTCCTTGTGGGAATGCAGTTTCTGGAACAGTCTTATTTGGTGACACGTTCCACCCACAGCATGGTGACACAGAGTGACAATGACCTTCCAGAGAATGACTAATTCCCAAAGTATTCACAAAATCTCCCACACCTACTGTGCATGGAGTGCTTTCCTTCCAGATCATTCCTCCTCATCACATTAATTATCCCTATCCCATAACATGCAGGAAACGGCGCTGAAGAAGTATGAAAGTTCCCAGCTGATAAGGGCAGGGTATTCGGATATATACATGGCTTTGTAAAGATTTTACTTATGCATAAATACGTGCTTAGCTTAGCGGAGGAGCATTCTGAATGAATGAATGAATGAATTAATGGGTTCCACTTGCTGCTATGTGTGCTACTGTACTAGGTGTAATCCTAGACTCCCATCTGTCCTTTCACCCCCAAATCCAATCACTGTCCAAATCTTGTAGACTTCACCTCCGCAACATCTCCAAGATACGCCCGTTCTTAACCTCAGAAACCACTAAGCAACTTATTCACCCCCTTGTTATCTCTCACCTTGACTATTGTAACTCCCTCCTCATTGGCCGACCTCATCGCAGGCTATCCCCTCTTCAGTCTATCATGAATGCTGCTGCCAGACTCATCCACCTTACTAACCATTCTGTATCTGCCATCCCTCTCTGCCAATCCCTCCACTGGCCTCCACCCCTCTCTGCCAATCCCTCCACTGGCCTCTATTCAGTGTCCTCCACCCCTCTCTGAGTGGAGGCCAGTGGAGGGATTGGCATAGAGGGGTGGAGGACACTGAGTAGAGGCCAGTGGAGGGATTGGCAGAGAGAGATGGAGGACACTGAATGGAGGCCAGTTGAGGGATTGGCAGAGAGAGATGGAGGACACTGAATGGAGGCCAGTTGAGGGATTGGCAGAAAGGGGTGGAGGACACTGAATGGAAACCAGTGGAGGGATTGGCAGAGAGGGATGGAGGACACTGAGTGGAGGCCAGTGGAGGGATTGGCAGAGAGGGATAGAGGACACTGAGTGGAGGCCAGTGGAGGGATTGGCAGAGAGGGGTGGAGGACACCGAGTGGAGGCCAGTGGAGGGATTGGCAGAGAGGGGTGGAGGACACTGAGTGGAGGCCAGTGGAGGGATAGGCAGAGAGGGGTGGAGGACATTGAGTGGTGGCCAGTGGAGGGATTGGCAGAGAGGGGTGGAGGACACTGAGTGGAGGCCAGTGGAGGGATTGGCAGAGAGGGGTGGAGGACATTGAGTGGTGGCCTCCACTCAGTGTCCTCCACCCCTCTCTGCCAATCCCTCCACTGGCCTCCACCCCTCTCTGCCAATCCCTCTACTGGCCTCCACTCAGTGTCCTCCACCCTTTTCTGCCAATCCCATTAACAATAACGTGTAAAGCCATTTGTAACTCTGCCCCAAATTACATCACCGATCTTGTCTCTAAATATCACCCAAACCGTACTCACTGCTCCTCGCAAGACTTCCTACTCTATAGCTCCCTTGTTTCCTCCTCCCATGCTCATCTCCAGGACTTCTCCAGAGCTTCCTCCATCCTCTGGAACTTTCTACCCCAATTTATCAGACTATCGCCTACTCTGCCCACTTTTAGGCAATCACTGAAAACCTATCTCTTCAGGGAAGCCTATCCTGCCCTCAGCTAATAATGGAATCTTCTACTCCTCCAACCAGTCCATCCCCCACAGTTATTACCTTTTGTACCACTAGCCCCTCCCTCCTAGATTGTAAGCTCCCAGGATCAGGGCCCTCCTATCCCTCTTGTATTGAACTGTATTGTTGCTGTATTGTCTCCTGTTATATTGTAAAGCGCTGAGCAAACTGTTGGCGCCATAAATCCTGTATAATAATAATACTGGAAGCCATGTTATTATATGGTGCTGACCATTGAGTTTCCTGCACCAACCGCCCAGCAAACTGTTTCTGGAAAACTTTTCTACTCGTCACTACACTGCCATCAAAAATCCCTTCTGACCAACCTGCACTGCTTCCTAGGTCCCCCCGTGCTACCCACTCCAAAGCTCCCCAAGACCTCCACCCTACCAACTCCAACTCAGAACATTGCTCCTGGTGGTCCCCTCCTGCCAACCTCTCATGACATCAGTATTGCTCCCAGATCTCCTCCTCTTTGCAACCCTTCCTCTACCCCCAATACCACAGCTCCTAGAGGTCTCCCACCTGGCAACCCCTTTCACCCCACAGCTCAGTTCCCAAAACTCATCCAACCAGCACCACTCCTGGGGATCCCTTTCAGCCAATCTCACTGCTCTTTGAGGTCCCCTGCTGAACTGCTCCTGGGATTCCCTCTGGTCTCCCCACCTGCCTGGTTTTCTCTTACCCCCACCCCATCTTATCTTTCTCTTCATGCAGGTCTACACAATCCCTCCACTCTACTGTAAGCCAAAACCCCCCCCCCCCCCCCCCCCCATTGTCAGTCAAGAGGCTACGTAATGCCACCTAAAGTCCTATGAGATGTGCAAAGCAGCCCTTAGCAACAAGAAGTTTTACAGTAATCTGAGCATATTATTATTGTTCAACCTGGTCAGGGGTGTTACAGGAGGAACATTTTCCTGGTCACTGGCTGACACACCAGGACCCTCAACCTGGTCAGAAGTGACACACAAGGAACATTCGCCTGGTGAGAGGTGGAACACAAGGACCCTCAACCTGGTCAAAGGTACCCACAAGGAATATTTGCCTGGTCAGAGGTGACACTCAGGGACTCTCAACCTGATCAGAGGTAACGTGGACCAATTGCCTGGTCAGGGCACTTTAGCACTTTACAATATCGTATTTATCTACTTTGACTGACTTTTAGCGCTGCATTTATACTTTTATATCATTATTACATCTGAGCATATTATTAATACAGGTACTTACATAGTGCTGTCAATGTACGCAGCACTTTACATATATATTGTACATTCACATCAGTCCCTAACCCTCAAGGGGTGTACAATCTATGGTCCCTAACTCACATTCACACATACACATACTAGGGCCAATTTAGACAGGAGCCAATTCACCTAGCAGCAGGTCTTTAGAGTGTGGGGGGAAACCAGAGTACCCGGAGGCAACCCACGCAGGCACAGGGAGAACATGCAAACTTCAGACAGGTGATGCCGTGGCTGGGATTCAAACCAACGACCCGAGTACTGCCAGGTGGAAGTGCTAACCACTTAGCCACTGTGCTGCCCCCACATATGGCTTCTAACAAACAGCCAATCAGGATTCTTGCTTTGTTCACAATGCTGCACTGCAGATTTAAGATCTGGAAAGCGATTGGCTGATGTTTGTAACAAGTAATGCAGCATGATAAGCCAGGCAATTGACATGTTCAGTAAGAGAGGTCAACAATGGCATCCTGTATGACACGTGCGTCAAACACAAGGCCCGCGGGTCGAATCTGGCCCACCAGGCTATTTCATGTGGCTCTCGCGCCTGTCCTGCAGCTGCGACTCTCCTCGTCTCCGCCCTCGCCTTGTCTCAGTAGTCAGCAGCAGAAAGGAGAACAGAACTCCTCCGCCAGATCCTGCACTTCTCTGTGCAGCCGTGGAAAGGCTTGTCTCTGCGCTCCCCACCCAGTCTCAGTAGTCAGCAGCAGAAAGGAGAACAGAACTCCTCCGCCAGATCCTGCACTTCTCTGTGCAGCCGTGGAAAGGCTTGTGTCTGCGCTCCCCACCCAGTCTCAGCAGTCAGCAGCAGAAAGAACAGAACTCCTCCGCCAGATCCTGCACTTCTTTGTGCAGCCATGGAAAGGCTGGTCTCTGCAACCTTGGAAAGGCTTGTCTCTGCGCCCCCCACCACCCTGTTTCAGCAGTCAGCAGCAGAAAGGAGAACAGAACTCCTCCGCCAGATCCTGCAC